GACCATCAGGAGAGAAGCAAACTGAATAAACAGTGCTAGTATGACCACCTAATTAGGCTTTTTATTCACGTGTTATTACATCCCACAAACGGATGGATGCATCATCACCACCAGATGCTAATGTGGTATTATCGGAGAAACATACTGACAATACAGAGCTAGTATGCCCAACTAATTTGGCTTTTAATTCTCCTGTCTTAACATCCCATAAATAGATTGAGTTATCAGAACTGCCAGATGCTAATGTAGTACCATCAGGAGAGAAACAGATTGACATAACTTATTTAGTATGGCCATGTAATATGGCTTTTTATTATCCTGTCTTAATATCCCATAAAAGGATTGAGTTATCATAACTACCAGACGCTAATGTAGTACCATCAGGAGAGAAACAGACTGACATGACTTATCTACTATGGCCATCTAATTTTCCTTTTTAAAATCCTGTCTTTACATCCCATAAACAGATAGACTTATCCGAACTACCTGATACTAAAGTTGTTCCATCAGGAGAAAAACAGAGTGACCAAACTTTATCACTATGACCTTATAATTTAGCCTTTTATTATCCTGTATTAACATCCCATAAACTGATAGATTCGTCATCACTCCCAGATGCTATTGTTAAGCCATCAGGTGTGAAACAGACTGAATGGACAGTCTTGGTATGATAATCTAATTTGACTTTTTATAATTCTATTTCAATATCCCATAAACGGATTGAGTTATCTTAACTACAAGATGATAATGTATTCCCATCAGGAGAGAAATAGACTGAATTAACACAATCAGTATGACCATCTAATTTAGCTTTTTATTGTCCTGTCTTAATATCCCATAACCGGATAGAATTATCATCGCCATTCAATACTCCACTACCAGATGCTAATGTGGTGCCATCAGAAGAGAAACAAATTGAATTAACTTAATCTCTATGACCATCTAATTTGATTTTTTATTATCCCGTCTTAACATCCCATAAACTGATAGACATATCTAAGCTACCAGATGCTAAAATCGTTCCATCAGGAGAGAAACAAACTGTCTAAACACTGTCAATATGACCAAATAATCTGGCGTTCAATTATTCTGTTTTTACATCCCATAAACTGATAGAGTAATCAGAACTGCCAGATGCTAATGTTTAACCATCAGGAGAGAAACAGACTGACATAATTTTTTTAAGGTAGCCATATAATCCGCCTATTTGTTATCCTGTTATGACATCCCATAATAGGATAAAATAATTATCCAATAGTTAACCACTACCACTACAAGATACTAATGTAGTACCATCAGGAGAGAACTAAACTGTCTGTATCTTGTTTTGGTGGCTGATTAATTTTAATATTTATTTCCCTGTTTTGAGATTCCATAAATATATAAATTCGCAATCACCAAAAGCCAGAGTCGTACCATTAGGTGAGAAGCAAACTGAATTAACATTGCTTTTTCCTTTTAATACAAACTTGATTTTTCCTGTTTTAACATCCCACAAACATATGAATTTATGATTACCACATGAAGCCAATGATCTGCCATCTGGAGAGAAAAAAACTTAATTGAACCCATTGAGATGACCATTTAACACCATCACCTCATTTATTCTTAGATTTTCCCATTTACAATTAAATAATTTGGCTCCATTCAAATTCATTCCACTTATAATTACACCATAAAATTCAGATCCACTTAAGTCACATCTCACAAAATTTGCCCCTATTAATGAAGTATTCCTAATTTTAATATTTTCAAATGATTATGTCTTCAAATCCACTTTCATTTCAACTAATAAATGAAGTGAATTTGATCCACATTATATGTATCTCTTATCTAAGGCAGTAAGATGAACTAAAAATTTTAGAAATTCTATGATTCTCTTATTATATGATATTTTTGTGATCAAATATTATTTAATTTTTTCATATGCTTCTTTTGAATAATTCTGTTTATTAAAATCATGATTCATAATTTTTTTCAGAGCTGCTGTTAATCTCTAAATGTTAATTTCTCCGACATATTACATCTACTCGTTATCAACCTGTGTTAACTTTGCTACTTATTATGCATACTATTCAACTTTCCTTTGATTTACCCTTTCTGAAAGAAATTATAGGGGGTCTTTAATCATTTCTTTTTTAAGCATTCCAAAAATTACACAGAAAATCTTTTCATCTAAATCTGTAATTTATTCTAAAATCTAATACAAATCACTTTGCGATTTATAAGTTTATGATTACTGTGATTTTTTCACATTTCCACAGTTTCCCATTATAGAAAAATTAAATTTATATCTGTTTCTATTACTTTATTAAAAAGTTGAGCAGATAAATTAGAAAAATCGGTAAGGTAGAAAGCAAAGATTTGGAACTAGTTACAATTCAAGAAACTATAATTGTGAACATTTGCATAAATTTGGTTATAGAATAGTATGAATATGGAATATCAGTTCAAAATAAATTATTAACAAAATTATTACAAGTATTTCCACAATTTAATTTATTTTTAAGTAAAACAATAGTGCTAGGGTTGTTTAAATTAATAATTGAATAAATCAATTGATTTACTAAGGCAACATTTATCTTCATATAACCAAAGAAGGATTTCGTATAAAATCAGTTTAACTTATTATTTTGGGTAAAGAAAAAAAAGTTGGGAAACTGGATTAGATACAGCTATTAATTTGTTAATTGAATCCAAAATAACTTTATTACAAACCAATAATGAAAGAATCGAAGCGAGCTCACCTTGAAGGAAAAATATTTTCATTAAATTAAGCGGTTCCCTGAACATTTTTAGGTGATAATCTTAAGGTTGGCTCATTTATGTTTCCTTTTGAAGCCCATCTATCTGCAAACTTACCTGGAACATTTTATTATAAAATGAAGTTCTTTTAAAATTTGAGCTATAAATTAATTCCTTAGTAATCTCCACATCTAAATAGATGATGATATAAAAAAAATATTTATGTAAACATCTTAAGGGAACCAATTAAGAAAACTTCAATTGAAACAAAAGAGGGAATACTTAAATTGTTAACGGATGCTTATTAATAGAAAAATATCTATAATAAATCATATCTTTGACCTCTTATGTTGAAGTGAAAGTCGAAAAAATAATATATATATTTTCCAACCGAATTTCTAAACTTTAATTATGAAATATAAAACTCAAATTATCAATTTGATGTAGATGAGGTAAATTCTGTGCTTATGTATCGATTAAGATTGGGATCTAACAAAGATTGTGAACATATTCTTGAATTAAATGAAATTATTCATACCATCAAGGACTTTAAGCATGAAATAAATTTAATCTGCTTAATAGAGGAATAAATCATAATTGATTAATTTAAAAAATCCTCTTAAACATCTAACTCTATCAATTATAGGAAGTTGTGTGAATTCAATATATTAATTGAAAATGCAGCCAAATTTTGGGGGTAAATGTTAATCTATTTGGTTTTTCTTGTTTTTTAACCCAGACCTACTGTGAAGATTTTACTTAGCGTTTGGCTATTCCTCCTAAAAGCATATTCAACCAATTATCTAAACTCAAAATTGTCATCTAAAAGCATTTTAACCAATTATAATCTAATCAAACACTCAAGCTTAAATATAGTAATTGAATAATCCAATAAAAATTGTAAATTAACATAATACATTAAAAAGTTAGATTTTCATATTGTTAAAAATTGACCTGATCCTGAAATACAATTTGTTAATTCATTATGTGAATCATATAAAAAGACAAAGGCGAATTTTTTTATCCTGTGTAATAAATCGAGTGATATATTTTTTAATTGGAAAAATAAAACTAAAATATAAAAAAATTATTATTAAACATCAGTAACCTCCTGAATTATTGGAATATAAGTCTATAAATTTTCTTATATTTAAAACTGGTTTTAAAGATAGAATAGAGATAGGATTTGTTGATATAGAAAATAATTGTATTACTCATATTGATAATAAAATTAAAACTATATTATATATATAAATTCATTTTTAGCACTATAAATAAAATTTTAAAGATTAAGTAGATCAATACTATTCAGTAGATTGTCTTAGTTGCTATTCAAAAATGAATGTCTTTTATGGTTTAATTCCAATGGATGTGTAAGCTTTAAGATGTATAGCAGACGGGCTCCGACGGATCTCATT